CCTACACTCTCAATGTTGGTATATATATATTAGAGAGCATTTAATCCTTGTTCAGATGATTTCATAATAGCTTCAGGCACTTGTTTGAACATTTCTAATTGAACATGTGAACCACATGCTATCAACAGCTATCATGTGTCAGCAAACAATTGTTTTTTCATCATGGTTCAAGTAATTGACTTCATTGCCCAGTTGGATGCAGGGTGTTGGGAGTCCAGTTCAATGACTTCATCGATCAGTGTATTACATTATTTCTGTTTCACTCTACATTCAATTTCTTCTTCGGACGTTCACCATTCTGTTGTATTGTACATTGTATGTGCAGTATGAATTGGCTATCTTATCTCAATCTTCTAAGAAGAAATATGGACAATTTTACTGTGCATTTTTTCTGACCTCTGTGATTGATTGGTTGAATATATATCATTTTAAATACATCTCTAAGTAAAAGTACAAGTACAAGTCACCATTAAAATAATTGATACCAGTCATTGATAAATTGTTTGTATATTGACCACTGATCTAGTGGTTGTATAAACTAAGTTCATACTTTATATGTATTGTGACAATCTGGCAATTAAGTATCAGAATTATATACTGCCCTAGTGTAGATATTTAACATTACTGGCATACTAAAATAAAGGATGCCAGTCATAGAATACCTGGTAGGTGCAGTGTATGATGATCTTACTAGCTGTGAATCTTCACATCAGTAGGATATATCACTGATCATTGGTAGAACAAGTAGCAGACATGCACTAGTGTCAACTTTGTTATATGAAAAGTGGTTTGGTTTTAGTTTGCTACAGTTTTTCACAAGTTTTGATTTATTTCTTTTGCTATTGCCCCAGATCTATAGCTGTCCTGGAATGTATGTATGCAAGCGTTGTAATTGGCAGTTGTCCCACATGACTGCTTTTGTCATTGGGCAATTTAATATGAAAACTTTACAGCAAAGTACAAATAAATACAGAAAATAACTACATTTTAGCCGAACAAGTTTACATTGTCTTTTGAGCAGTTGAGCATATCCTGACAGGTCTTAGATATTGTAGCCACCACTAACTATTTTTGGCATTCAAGGACAACTGCACTAGTTTCTCAGATTGGTTGTCCCCCTGAACAAGCAAGTATTTGTTTTATTTTGCGGCCTATTTTGTATTCTTCTTCCTAGATCAGCAGTGAGCATGAATAACAAAATTGATTTTTTTTATATACCGGTATATCAGTACGGTATTTAGGATACAAAACATTTCTGCTTAAGATTGCATATTTGTGGTGCCCAGCAAAGTACAAATAGTAGTTTAGGCAAGACAACACCTGAAACCCAAATCATCAATCATGTCATTTTGAGATAGCCATGTCATTGATTTTTGAAGCAGATTAAAACAGTACATTGATGTGACCTGTTAAATGGAACGTGGATTGCTTTGCAACATCTGGACTTTGTGTATGTTTTACATATCTCTGTGTTTGTGTATTTTTTTTTTCTTCCCATTGTTTTTATAACTTGCATTCCAATGTGAATGAGTTTTCACTGTGCTTTTTATTCAGCATAAAGCTGAAAGTCATACGGGTTACTCAATATTACTTACAAATGTTTAACAAAGTTTAATACTATTAGTTAAACCAGTTTCCATGAACTTAGGTGTTGTCCATTTTCAGACTTTCCAGGCGAACGAATTACAGGTGCTCATCATTTTGTGATTTAATTTGAGTCCCATCATTTTGGAGCTTGCATGGATGGATTTATGGAACCTTAATTTGCATAATTTTGTTTTGCAGATCTGATTTTAAAATGTTTGACTTCTTTGATATATGGGATAAATACATATATGCAAATGCATTTACATAGGATTTGATTCTAGTTAACAGACTGCTGGCCAGTTGGCTTAAGTATAGCATAGTAGTACATGAACTTTGTAAACTATCACAGGTTATGTTATGTTATTAACTTGAGCTCCATGCGTATTATATAAGAGTACACAGCTTTCTTTCAACTTTATTTAGAAATTACTTTAGAGCACTAGAAAGTTTGTCTATATGTTACTGGTAGACACAGAAACTGAGCACTTTTAATCAGTGTCAGCTTGTCTGTAATATATCTAAAAGGGATCACCTAAATCAGGACAGCTTTATTCCGGTCTTTGTTTTACTGAATAAATGAGTATTCATTTGTATACTAGTATGCTACCAACAAAATGGTTTGTGTATCTTGGTAACAGTATAATTGCCACTTAATAATGCTTAACGTAAGGGCTATTGATCGGTTGAATTGGAGGCCAAGAGTGTTTTCATTTGAAACAAGTGATTATGTAAAAGTTGACTTATATCGTCTACCAGTCTTTGCTGTTGGGCAGTGTTCATTCTCCAAACTGAATACATGTATCTATTCCCACAGCTCACTAAATTCTAATTGACTAATTTCTCAGGTTTGTGTAGTGTGGGAACCTGATGACTAACTTTGTTTTAGCTGGCGATATGCCAGTTCAGTCTTTAGTTGTCTCATCTGGACGTGATCATCTTGTAGCTTTCAAAATGGTCATTCCTTTTAAGTTGGCTTTGTTTGTTCCTATTACTGTCTTGTACCAGTGAAACACGAGTCTTTCCTAATTTAAGCTTCCAGCTGGTTGGAATAGAGAAAGGCCAATAGTTTTCGCTGGTCATGTGTTGAAAGATTAATTGCTGCTATATTTAGACTTAAAGTTGAGAGGCAACCAGTCTTTTTGTGAAAGTTAATACCCATAAGTTTAATTATTTAGGGACCGCAGATTTCACAGGTGGTTTGAAGAAATACACACGTCTGCATCTATCAAGATGCCAGGCCTGTAAATGGGCACTTTTTCAGTTGACCAGAGAAACAAATAAATAATATATGTATATTCTTGTCTTTTGTAAAAGTTTTTGCCATCCATGCCCACCTGTGACCACTGAAATATTTGCTCTAATAAAAATGCTTGAGCTTACATACATATTGTTTTGTTCATGTGTATTTCTAGGTGTTACTGATAGAGCTGATCCGCTAGTCTGTAAATAATATTGTAAAAGTTTCACTCATTTGAATATGACTCCTGTGTGTAGTAAATAAAATGTTTTCACAAATTTGTGTCTTCTCAAATTTATATTACAGTATATTACATGTGTACCATACACATGTTTTGCAGCTTGTTACATGGACAGAATACAAAATATCTCACATGACTGCATACTCGCATTGTAATAGATAAACCAAGTCATACAGTAGATACAGATCTTGTACAGTATCATACCTTGGCTGTGGGTTCTGAATGATAACTGTGGTGCTGAGACGTTTCAGTACATAACATTGTATTTGAGTGTCACCACTTGGCTGGTATGTACAAATGAAACACAGCTAGAAGTACATACCAGCAACAGCTTCCCGATGTATAGTTGATGGTGTGGCAATCTATTACTTTCATCAAGTTAAACTATAGACAATTGAAAAAACATCAGTCACGATAGTTTATGTCAGCATCTTGTCCTATTGTATATATACATTTGTAAATAATTTCAGACATAGTCTTAAGCCTGATTACATAAGAATAGATCTTATCCACATTACTTCATCAATACTGACAGATTCCCTGGTGGTGTGGTCATTTTGATTATTTATCTTATAATCAATGAAATTAAACACTGCCCACATTCCAAGACTCTTGGAATGTGTCCTAATACTGATTATGTAACAATCTGCATTTAATAATTTATTTGCTATTATGGTGGCATGTTGTCTACATTCTGGGTGGATAGATCATTTTAAATAACTTCTGAAAAAAAGAAGACTTTAAAGTTATATCCATTTGCAAAGATCTCGCACATTTATCTTGAATGTTCCTTTGTCAAAAATGGTTTTAAAGTGTTTACTGACCATCATGCAAACATTAATATTCCCAAATGATATACTCATAGTTCTGACTAGTTTGTGTAGCAGGTACTTTATGACACTGACTTGTATGTGTTAATCTCAGACTGCAATATTATTGGCACTGGCGCCTTTCAATTTTCCAATTACTTGTATATAAAAGAAAACATGTGTTTAATGTTTCAATGATATTAATGGTTTTCAGTACAAGGTTCACTGACAGAGAATAATATCTCACTAATGTATACATGCAAGCACTACAATTTTGAGATTTAGATGAATTTTTCATATGTTGCCCCATTGGTGAAATCGCTGATTTCAACTGCCTGGTAGGACATCATTTGATGATTCGACATATAAACTATGGGTACTATATTTTCTCTATTAGAAGCACATGCACTTATGGGAATGACTGATTAGCATAGTGAGCATAAAAGCCTTGGTGACAGTTTGTTACTTCAAATTCAACTATAGGAACATTTTTTGGGGCTCACATGCACCTCATTTGAAGATGTTTATTGAATAGCCATGTCATGTGATCACAAACATAGAATATAGTTTCTGTTGCATTTACACTCAAAGTAATAAAAAAAGTCCATGACAACATGATATTCAGTTTCTGAGACGGTTGTTGAACCAAATAAACTAGACAACTCTGCGCATTGTTGTTTTATCATTTTCCCATTAAACTGATGACCATGTAGCAAAAACTCTTTATTAAAGTGATTTAACTTAATGTCGACTTTATCGGCCAACAAAAAAATAAAAGCTGTAAACTACCAGCTACAACTTGCTCCTTTTGCTGTTAAATTTTAACATCAGCTGTTGTCTTTAAATATACCCAATCATTTAGTAGGATATACATTGTAATATATAAAATATTGGACAGTTACAAAATGTGGTTTTGTTTTATGCTGTTTCATAGAAGAAATTTTACGGTCATTGAACGAGTTTTCATGCGAAAAAGGGCATTGGTTCTTTCTTTTAAATTTCTTATAAAAAAAGTTGGAAACTGACACTCAATTTAAGGTAGAAGCCTACTCATAAATTAAAAAACCCAGAATTTATTCATTTTGCAATAAATTGTACTCCAAGGCAATATATGGATATTGACCTAAAAAAAATTGGGGGTCACCGGCCTTTTTTTTGAGAAATTGATGGTTGTATTTTAGTGGAAAGTCGCCATTTTGACACTATTATAACACTTTTACCGCAGGTTCCTATGACAGAGATATTATGCAATATCTCAAAATTTAACCTGGTGACACAGGCTGAAAAAATCATATATTGTTAATGATGGAGTACTTTTTGTTCTGAATTATTTAAAAAATCTGGGTTTTAAAAAGTTTAAAAAAATGCAATTTTTCTTTAACATTGTGTTCTATGGAATTGTTCTAAAAATAGCAATTTTCAAGAAATATTAGGACACGTTTCTCAAAAAGCGTAACTGTAACACACAAAATAATGCTCATTGTACCATGAGACATTAGCTTCATGATTGTACATAATAAACTAATGAACTTATGACCAATTTTGTCAAAAATTATGACTAGGCTTCTACCTTAAGTAGACAAATTAATTATGCGCAATATATTGAGGTAATTCATAATATTGTATGGATATCTTAAATAACTAAATCTTATAAGTGATCCCCATTAAAATTTTATGATTTCATATATGTACAAACAACTAATGCTTATTTACAATAATATTTTTTTGCTATTTTTCAGGTTATTGCAAGAATATTTTATTGTGTAAATAGATCATGGACAGGCAGGATAGTTGCAAATGAACTTAGAAGATCAAATCTTTTGCAGGTAAAGTACATTTTCACATCAAATATCAAATAAATATTGTGCCATTCAATGTTTTCTGTTTAGATAGATGATGGATGAAATAGGGAAAACAAAATTTCAACATATTTAATATCATTATTCCCCTTTTGCACTGAGATAGTTTTTTCTCTGCAACATCTCATACGTTGTACACATTACTTTCGCTATATTGATACTTTACTTTAAAGTAGTGTACTGTATTTTCACTAATGGGTAAGAACAATCCAGAGAACATTATTTTTTCCCCTTATGGTTTTCGTGGAATTGTTTTTTTTTTGTGCTAGTGGGTTGGTACAGGTTTTGTCACCATATGAATTTTTCTGATAAGCCTGCGCTTGATGTATACTGTGTAACTAAATATTGAACTATACTTATTTTGTGTCACACTCATTAAAAGTTTTTAAGGCCTTGGCAGCAAATTGAACTTTCCGGAAGTACAATGAACCAGTTGGACTCTCAGTAATACAGAAGTTCAAGTTCAATGAACCAGTTGGACTTTCAGTTACAAAATTTCAAGTTCAATGAACCAGTTGGACTTTCAGTTACAAAATTTCAAGTTCACTAAAAGAGTTCATACTCGTGATTAATTTTGAGTGATGGTTTCAAGGACTTTTTTTTG